GAAACTGTCTTGGCCTGGAATACTCATAAGGATCATGGGAAAAGGAGGTGTATATGCTTTATTATCCGGGGCATGCGGTTACAGCCCCCCTCTCTCTGTCTCTGTCTCTCGGTCTGTCAGTCTGCCTGCCTGTCTGTCTCTGCCTGCCTGTCTCCGTCTGTCTGTCAATATTTCTGGCTGTCTGTCTGTCTGTCTGTCTGTCTGTCTCTCTCTCTCTCGCGTTCCATGTACGCCCTTCTCCACTCTCTAGGCTGCACGTGCTCCCTCTCTCTCTTTCTCTCTCTCTCTCTCTCCGGCACTGCTCTGACAGACTCCTCTCTGCCTGAGACAAGCTGCCAATTACACTCCACGAGCTGCTGCAGTGGCCTCTTGCGGCACGTGGAGCGCGGATGGAATCTCCTGCTGCTCCGCTCATCGTCTTGTTCCCCTCCCGTCCCAGAGGGCAGATGAGGGCGCGGGGAGGAGGCGGGATGGGAGTGGAGACCGACTGATGACGGCGTCCGCGGTAACCAGCACAGCCAGGCTGAGCATAGGGCTCGAGAGAAGGGAGGGCGCCAAGAGAGCGCCAGCAGCATGAAACGACAGGCGGGCCAGAGCCCTTCCCCCGACGCTGGTAGGACAACACGCAACGGCATACGCATAAACTTTCGGAGCTCCGCGGGGGTTTCTTGGCTGGGCGCTGGGCCCCCCTGGCGGCGCTTCCTGCGCCGCCCCTGACGCGCGCAGCGCGCCAGGGAAGGGGGGTCCAGCGTCAATCCAAGAAACTCGCCTGGGGCTACGACGGTTTACGCTCAGGGTATGTTTGTACACCTGTTTTGCTTATACACAATGTTCTGCTCCTCGGATGGGGCAGGACTTCCGTGGCCTCTGGACCTGGCTGCCGCGTGTTGAGGTACAACAGATAAGGCCACCGCTCGCTTTCAAGTGAACGCGGGAGGGGGGGGGTCGAGGAGGACGAGGACGAGGACGGCGACGCCCACGAGGACGATGACGAGGACGACGACGACGACGACGGTGGGAGGCGGGCAGGACGAGGAGCAGGAGCAAGGAGGAGAGGGAGGAGGAGGAGGAGGAGGAGGAGGAGGCTCCCAACGAGGGCTCGACTTGCCCCCCCTTCCTCTTCTTCCACCGCCTCCTCCTCCCCCTCCTCGTCCCCACTCCCTCCTCCCTCTTCGCTGCAAACATTACTCAGCAGCAATGGATCCGACTGCTGCTGCGCCACTCGCTCGCTACAGTGACTACTCCTCCCCTTTCTCCCTCCTTCCTTTCCCTCCCTCCCCTCCATCCAAATCCCCCTCCTCCCCTCCCCCCCCCCCCTCCCCCCCTCCCTCCCCCTCCCCCCCTCCCCCCCCCCCCCCCCTCCCCCCCCTCCCTCCAATCCCCCCTCCCCCCCTCCCCCCCCCCCCTCCCCCTGCTCCTCCTCCTTCTCCTCCTCCTCCTCCGTCCTCGCCCTCCGTCCTCCGTCCTCCTCCCCCTCCTCCGTCCCCCGCCCTCCCTCCTTCCCCGCCCCGAGATCCTTAGATGCGACGCTGCGAACGAAAGCATCGAAATCCCCAAAACGCGACTGGACCCCTGCACACCATCTTTCTGCTGCATTTCCCAGGCGGGATCGGCATCAGGCGATCCTTGGGCCCGAATCCTGGCGAAAACGCCTGGTGTGACAAGAAGTGACCACGCCCCGATCTCAGGGAAGCTTCCCTCCCCAGATAACCAGCACTCGAAATTTTGCTCGACGCGTGGACTTTGGGGTCTGTCGGGTCGGGCGAAAGGGGGGGATAGCAAAGGAGGGGTTTGAGAATCAGCTCACGTAGCTGATTTTCCCGGCGCCTCCCGGCGCCGGGAGCGGCCATGTATCGAGGAATGGGCCCCTCGGTGAGGCCGAAACCAGCTGCATGCAGCAGATTTCGTAACCCCCCATTTCCCAATCCCCCCCTTTCGCCCGGCCCGACACTTCCCCAGGGCCCGACAATTTTGCTCGACGCGTGGACTTTGGGGTTAGGGAGCCCAACAAGGACGTACGCGCCCAGCTATGTACATGAACACGGTCCCTTGAAACGCGAGACCGGCCGCAATATACGAACATTTGCGCAATGCGTACTCTCGAAAACAGCGTGGATTCATGTACGTGTACGTCCTTTTGTCGCTCCTGAGGGGTCTGGACCACTTCCCCAGGGCCAGATTTTCATCCTGAATCGTGTCTTGACCATCCCGAGGCCCAGTGAGGGCCCCCCGATCCTGAGGAAAAGCAGCGCGGGCCGCAGGAGGAGGAGGAGGAGGAGGAGGAGGAGGAGGAGGAGGAGGAGGAGGAGGAGGAGGAGGAGCGAGGAAGAGGAGCGAGGAGGAGGAGCGAGGAGTAGGAGCAGCGAGGAAGAAGAGGAGCAGCGTGGAAGAAGAGGAGGAGGAGGAGGAGGAGGAGGAGGAAGAGGAGGAGGAGGGGGAGGAGCGCAGGAGGAGGAGGAGGTCCTCCTCCCTCCCCCCTCCCCCTCCCCTCCCCTCGATGACCCCGAGGCGGGCGCAGGGCTGGGCAGACGCTCCCCGCGCCGGCCCCCGGGGGTGGACGAGTGGAGGCGCCAGCGCGTTCTCCTCGGAGAGCCGGGAGCCGATGCGGGCCTCCGGTCGGCCGGCAGGGCTCGGTAGTCCCCAAACGTGGTGGTGAAAACACCTGGCGGTGAGTCTCGGGCGATTTGGTGCCACAACCCGGTTTGGGGACTCGTCCGGTTTTCCGAGGACGTCCCGGACACTGGTGGGTCCAGGAGTCACAGAACCCGGTGGTGACCCCGCGTCCCCAAACCCAGCGGTGACCTTTTCGGGGATTCCAGGTCGCCACCTGGTGTCTCACCACCCGGTCTGGGGGTTCCCAAAGGGCGCCGCCGCTGCAGGCCCCGGAGGGCGCTGGGGCCGCTGCGAGCCCTCGAGGTCGTGTTGCTCCCAGCGTAGACTTCCGGGCCGGCTCCCGGAAATCATGTCGAGCACCCAGAAAGAGCCTGTTTTTTTTTATTTGCAGGCAAGCTTACTTGCATGGCGTTCGCCCGCCCCCCCCCCCCCCCTCGCCCCTCTTCAATCGAACACGAGCGTGCAAGTGCCTTTCGACTTGCGTGATTTCCGCACGTCGAACTGTTTTCGGCTTGCTTCAGACTCAGCCCCCCCCCCCCCCGTCCATGCAAGTAAACTTGCCCGAATCCAGAGAAAAACAGGCTCCAAGCAGTGCCACAAACACAGCGAAGCGGAGGTCCTGACGGCGCCTCTCGCGCAGCCCCTGGCGCCTCGCGCGCGCCAGGGACGGGGGCCCAGCGCCGATCCAGGCAGCCCGTGCGGACCTCCGCAGGCTGATGCTCGTGCCACTGCTTGCCCCCCCCCAAGGTTATGATGCTCCAGCCTACCTTCGCCTCGATCACCAAAAAGGACCTCGCGCACCAGGAAACGTGCCGAAGCCGTATGGCCTTCGCGCGCCGTGCCCTGGGAGGCGATACTGGCTCGACGCTGTTTCGACACTTTTTTGAGCCTGTTTTTCTCTGGATTCGGGCAAGTTTACTTGCATGGACGGGGGGGGGGGCTGAGTCTGAAGCAAGCCGAAAACAGTTCGACGTGCGGAAATCACGCAAGTCGAAAGGCACTTGCACGCTCGTGTTCGATTGAAGAGGGGCGGGGGGGGGGGGGGCGAACGCCATGCAAGTAAGCTTGCCTGCATATAAAAAACAGGCTCTTGCTCCCCTGCACCGAAAGACAACTACGAGGCTCCGAAAAAAAAAAGCGGAACAGCAAGGTTTGGGCCGTTTTCGGTCTCGGGGAGCACTCAAACCGTTGAGCAGTGAAGCAAAAACTACTCAGGAAAGAAAAACGGAACAGCAATGTTTGGGCCGCTTTCGGTCTCGGGGAGCACCCAAACCGTGGGGCAGTGGGGCAAAAACTACTCAGGATGGAGAACGGGAAACAGGAAACTGGTCCAAACCTCCGGGGGTCCCATCGAGAGAATTGGAGCGCAGGATGTTTGGGAACATCCCGTCGCGGGCGCACTCCGCCTATGGGCCTACGGGCCAGCGCGACCGGGATGCGGACCGGTCGTCCTCCCCATGGGGGAGGGGGCGGGGGAACTGGAGGGGTGAGAGAGGTACGGATCGGGAAGGGAGGTGTGGAAGTGATGAGTGAAGGGACGCGCCACCAGCTTCTGAGCAATGCTGTGGCCCAGCTCGACCGCGCAAGCCCAAGCCAGAAGAACAGTGTGCCGTCATCGAAAGCGGGAGTGCAAGGGGAGGGCCGTGGACGGGGAGGGATGAGGCAGAGGTAAAGCTGGGTATTGCTCGTGGCGCGGATAGGGAAGCTGGGCAGCTGCGCAGTCACACACACAAAGGCACAAGCACAAGCACAAGCACAAACACAACAAACAAGCATGTTCAACACTGTCTTCCGGGCAAAGCACGTACGAGCGCCGCCGCGCACGTGCCTCGACAATAAGATCGTCCGAACTTTTCCACCTGTAGCTGTGGCGCACGTGTGCAGTCTTCACCCGCTGGTTGTGTGATAATCGGCGCCGAACGAAGCAACACGACTGCCAACGTTGGACATGTATTGACAAGTCGCTGTCTGTCGCCACATTGCTACATTGCTACATCACGGAACAAGCTGGGGAAGGGGCATTCCACTCCTTTCGGAGATCTTCTGACCCAGGTCAATCCAGACCCGGGTCAGCCAGGCCTTGCAAAATCCTGCAAGATCCTGCACCAAAACCCGGGTCAATGCGAAAGGATCCAGCAAGATCCTGCACCCAAACCTGGGTCAATGCGACCCTGGACCTGCAGGATCCTGCAAGATCGGGCGCTCTGGCTGACCCCCGCTTGCATTGATCCCCGTCTCAAGGCTCCCGATCCTTGACAAAAACCTTGCCCTGGCTTGTGGCCGTCACGATCGCCGCGGCGACCTCCAAGACAGACGGGGACGTTGAGCTCGGAGTCGAAGATCACGCAACGACCCGTGGCGCCGCGGCGGTGCGACATGCGACGTTGCGGATCCCCCCCTCGCTCGACGCCAGCAGATGCTGCCCCAGGTGCGGCGTCAGCGGGCGCGCCCCCCTTTGCACCGCACCCGCTTGGAGGGGGAGGAGGACAAGGAGGAGGGGGAGGAGGAAAATGAGGAGGATGAGGAGGAAAAGGAGGAGGGGGAGGAGGAGGAAAATGAAGAGGAGGAGGAGGAGGAGGAGGAAGAGGAGGAGGGGGGAGGAGGGAGGGAGGGGATGAAAAGGAGGGACAGGAGGAGGAGGAGGAAAAGGAGGAGGGGGAGGAGGAGGGAGGGGAGGAAAAGGAGGGGCAGGAGGAGGAGGAGGAGGAGGAGGAGGAGGAAAACGTAGAAGGGAGGAACAGGAGGAGGGCGAGACGGAGCTCGCGGACGGGCGATGAGAAGCAGCCGCTGCCGCGGGGCCTCACATCTCTTCAGCAGCGCGCTGACGTCGTACGTGTGCGCCAACTGTGGGGGATGCAGGAGCGGAGGCCCATGTCGTGGTGTGTGTGGTGGGGGGGGGAGGAGGAGGAGGAGGAGGAGGAGGAGGAGGAGGAGGAGGAGGAGGAGGAGGAGGAGGAGGAGGAGGAGGAGGAGGAGAGGAGGAGGAGGAGGAGGAGGAGGGGACAGCGCAACCGCGGGCATCGCGGGAGCTTCTGTGGAGGAGCGGTGAACGGATCGCTGGCAAAATATGGGCACGGAGTGAGAGAACGAAAGACGGGTACACGTAGATGCGCACAACAATACATACATACATACATACATACATACATACATACATACATACATACATACATACATACATACATACATACATACATACATACATACATACATACATACATACATACATACATACATCCACACATACAAGCATACGTGCACATAATATATAAATATATGCATCAGAAAGAGGGGGAGAAAGAGAGAGAGAGCGAGAGAAGCCAAACGCAAATAATGAACGAGAGAAAGAGAGGAGTAGCGGAAGGAAGGACATAAAACGAGAGGGAGGGAGAGCATGAGCTAAAGTGACAGGTCTTCGAAGTACAATTAGCTTCGCTCTACTGATACACGTGCAGTGCAATAGCCAGTTGGCAACTATGCATGTGTGTGACAGCGTGGACCCAAGCAACAACGCATTGCAATCTCGATGTGAGTCATACGTGAGGCAACCCAAGCCGCGCAATGTATACTGTACCACATATATGTATATATATATGTATGTATGTACATACACTAGAACCATCGCGCGCTTCGCGCCCGCTCCAGTTCTAGCTAGGCTTCATGGGCGAACGCATGGAATATCATCCTTGCCGCTTCTTGCATCCACGGACTCCCTTGGAGGCCCTGCGCAAGCCCCGGAACCGCATAGAAAGGGAGCTGCGGAAACGCAGAAATCGTCCATTGCCGTTCAGCATTCAACGATTTGGGCCCCTGAAGGCTTCCTGGGTTCTTTTCTGGGGCCTTCACTGTGGTCTGCTGTGCAAGAGTAGACAAAGGGGCCAACTTGGGAAAAAACGAATGGTGGGATTTCCCTTTTTTCAAGCTGTAGTGCCTAGGCTGTGGGTTAGACGTTTTCTGCCACGGTCTGTTGGGATGCCTCTCGGGGTCTTCGTGCAAGAATAATCAGGGGTGAGTTTGAAAAAAAAGAATGTACAATTTCACTGCTTCAACGCATGGGATCAGGGGCTCTCGATTTCTACAATGGTACCAGGGGCAGCCAAGAGGGCACGAAGACGATCCGAAAAAGTGCCAAGACAGCGTCAGAGAGTTCAACAAAAATCCCGAAGCATTTTTACATGTGACCCCGAAGTCTTGATGGGGCTCGAGGCAGAGGATAGGGAACAAGAATCCCAACTTGAAAAATTATGCTAACGGAATTCCCCACATAAAGATATTAACGGTTTCGTGGGACCCATGGGGTACGACAACATCAACACGAAGGAGAAGCTCATCGAACGAGTAAGTTCGCACGAAAGGGCAGACGAAAGAAAGGAGGAGGGAGGACAGGTGCTCAGGAAACGAAGCCTTGTAAATAGTGCGGTTTCTTGATATTCTCCTCGCTCAGGCGGGGCCCCGCTGGAAGGGAGGAGGGGCACGAAATCATGTAAATAGCATGGGTTTCCGATACCCTCCTCGCTCAGGCGGGGCCTCCCTGGAGGGGTGGGAGGGGCACGAAATCATGTAAATAGTATGGGTTTCCGATACCCTCCTCGCTCAGGCGGGGCCTCCCTGGAGGGGTGGGAAAGGCACGAAACCATGTAAATAGTATGGGTCTCCGATACCCTCCTCGCTCAGGCAGGGCCTCCCTGGAGGGATGGAAAGGGCACGAAACCATATAAATAATAGGTTTCCGATACCCTCCTCGCTCAGGCGGGGCCTCCCTGGAGGGGTGGGAGGAGCACGAAACCATGTAAATAATAGGGTTTCCGATATCCTCCTCGCTCAGGCGGGGCCTCCCTGGAGGGTTGGAAGGGGCACGAAACCATGTAAATAGTACGGGTTTCCGATGCCCTCCTCGCTCAGGCGGGGCCTCCCTGGAAGGGTGGACGGAGCACGAAACCATGTAAATAGTACGGGTTTCCGATACCCTCCTCGCTCAGGCGGGGCCTCCCTGGAGGGGTGGGAAGAGCACGAAACCATGTAAATAGTATGGGTTTCCGATACCATCCTCGCTCAGGCGGGGCCTCCCTGGAGGGCCGGGAGGGGCACGAAACCATGTAAATAGTATGGGTTTCCGAAACCTCCTCGCTCAGACGGGGCCTCCCTGGAGGGGTGGGAAGGCCACGAAACCATGCAAATAGTATGGGTATCCGATACCCTCCTCGCTCAGGCGGGGCCTCCCTGGAGGGTATGGTATGGTATGGTAGGTATGGTATGGTATGGAATGGTAGGCATGGTATGATATGGGAGGCTGGAATGGTAGGCACGGTATTGATATGGGAGGCGGGAGGCGGGAGGGAGAAGGAGAGGATGTTCTGGGAAAACAAGAACCCCACTCAGGATGTGGGGAAAAAGAATATCCGGAATTCTATTTGTTTCCCGAATTCCTCGGTCTTGGAGCATTGGAAGCAGGACAACGTGAGAAGGCGAAAAGCGTCGACAAAAACCACTGGAAAGCAACGATGTTATCCTCTTCGGGCTCTCTCGGAACGGCTCTCGAAGCTCTCATTGGGCTGTTTGGGGGGCCTCGTCGGGGACTTTTTGGGAGCCTCTCAGGGGTCTGGGGTGTGATGGGGGACTCTGGAGAGTCCCAGAGTCCTCTCGGAGGTCTCTGGAGGCCTCCTGCTCCCGCTCTTGGGCTCATCTTGGGCCTGTGGCAGTCTTGGGGCCGTCTTCGGGCCGTCTCGGGGGCCTCTTGGGGGCCTCTTGGGCGGTCTCGGGGCGGTCTTGGAGGCCTCGTCGGCCGTCTTGGAGCGGGCCAAAAACCTTTAAAACAACCAGGAAGATTAACGATTTTAGGTTCTCAGGTCTTTTGGAGGCCTCCTGGAAGCCTGAAGAGCCGCCCGAAAGCTATCCTGGGTTGCTTGGGAGCGTCTTGGGCCTTTCTTTGACGTTCTGGGGGCTTCTTGGGGTCGTCTTGGACTGTCTGTGGGCATTGTGGGGGCTCCCCAGGAGGTCGGGAAGCGCGGTACCCGGAGCGTTCCGCAGATGTTCCGGGAAGGTGTGGGACTCCTGGGAGCAGAGGGCGCGCATTAAAAGCAAAGAAACTCTGAATATCCTTTTTTTGGTTTTCCAAATTCCTCGATCTTGGAGCATTGGAAGCGGGACAACGTGAGAAGGCGAAAAGCGTCGACAAAAACCACTGGAAAATCAACGATTCTACCCTCTTCGGACTCATTCGGGACAGCTCTCGAAACTCTCATGGGCTGTTTTGGGGGCCTCGTCGGGGATTTGTTGGGAACCTCTCACGGGTCTGGGTGTGTTGTCGGGGCTCCCGGGGTCCTCTCTCGGAGGTCTCTGGCGGCCTCCTGCTCCCGCTCTTGGGCTCATCTGGGGCCCACACTTGGGTGGTCTGGAGCTGTCCGGGGCGCCTCTTCGGCACTCTTGGGACCGTCTTGGCCCGTCTTGGGGCCGTCTTGGGGGCCTCTGGGCCGGTCTTGGAGGCCTCTTCGGCCGTCTTGGGGCGTTGGAAGCATGATATGATGAGAAAGCCAAAAACCTTTTAAAACAACCAGGACAATTAACAATTTTAGGTTCTCTGAGCGCTCTCTGGAGGCCTCTCGGAGCTATCTTGAAGTCTCTTGGAGGCCTCCTGGGAGCCTGGAGAGCCGCCCGAAAGCTATCCCGGGTTGCTTGGGAGCGTCTTTCGTAACTCTTTTACGTTGTGGGGGCTTCTTGGGGTCGTCGTTTTTTATCATTTACGGAACCAGCGGCCCTCGCCACTGTCAGCTCGCACCTGCTTCTGACTCTCTCGGATATCGGTCGAGAGCGGACTGTAAAGGAGGATAAGGAGGAGGAACTGCCCAAAACAAACATCGAACATGTGATCGGCAGAGGGAAGGACCGAGGCAGAGGTCAGCGCCCTGCCCAAGAGCAGCCGCACGGCGAGAAAAACTACCGGCGGCCCTCGCCGCCGTGAGCCGCACCCTGCTCCTCACCCGACCCTGTCGGCCACCCGCGGGACGGAAGGCGGTGCACAGACACGCTCGCCCAAAAATCCGCCCACCGCCTCACCAACGCTTAAGTCGGGTGTGTCCCCCTACAGGGCGATGCTCGACAAGAAAAAAAACACATATTTTTGAATATTCCCCCTGTAGAGGGACAGGCCCGACTTAAGCCAACGCCCTGGGAAAAACCACTGTGTGTTCCACACACGCCCGCCGCCGAGCCTGCGAGGCCAGAGCCGGAGGGTCCTATTCAGACAACATGCGGAGCTCGATGGTGAAACCACTCCGATCATGCTCAGCGACCTACATCCGTGATGTCATTTATGTAGTAGCAGTAGTTGTCGGCGTTCTTCAATGCCTTTGTCGGGTTCCTCGACGCCAACTGTTGGCACGGGGACCTGCCGTATGCTGTTTGCCTGCACGGGTTTGAGTAATCCATGCAGACATCGTCAGTGTACGCTGTCGCGTGGTGCGACCCCTCATGTGTGAGAGTCTCGATCTGAACGTCGATGGACGACCTCATCGTGAGCTGGCACATGTAGAAAACGAACTTCCCCCCACGGGTCTTCGTGCAGGCATCCCGCTTGTACTCAGCACTGGAACCACAAGTGTAAGCCTGAGGGTACACGTAGGCGTACGTGTTAGGGGAGCACTGAGGGCCTGGGTACACATACTCGACATGGCTGAGCATACGATTGACGGATGTCAGCACATGTTTCACCCTGTTGCGGGAAGATGGGTCGCTGAAAGCCCTCCTTCCGAACCACTTGTCCATGTGGCGTTGGGTGTTCTTCCTGTTAAACTCACGGACTGCAGTAGCGATGTACGCGATGGCTTTCTGCTCAGTGATCCGGATCTTGTCCCTGAAGGAACCACCAGACCCGCCCCCACCGAACCCGCCCCAAGAAAGCCTGCGCCCAGTCTCGGGACTGCCACGCAGATTCTTATCTTCTGCCCTGTCGTCGTCGTCAAGCAGGTCCTCTTCGATCTCGACGGCAGTCACGACCTCTGGATAGATCCGGAACATGTGCGCGATCTCCACGGCAATCTCGTCCATCGCGTACTCGACACCATCTTCCCCACCTGCCTCGTCATCGTCTTCCTCCTCGTCGTCCAGGCTCTCGGGAGGAATGTCCTGGTTGTTCTCGTCCAGCGAGTCGTGGTCGAAAACCGGGAGCTCCGTCTCCGACGAACCCCCAGAGTCGTGGACAGAAGGGGGGGATAGGTCGATGTCGCAGTCGTGCTTCCCAGTCTTCTCGTTCTGGGAACACCCGAGGTCGCTCTTCGGAGGCACGACGTGGGCGTGCTGCTCAAGCCAGCTCACCACCGCGTGGCACAAGTCCATGCACCTCGCTTGAATGGGCAGGCCGACCGCTTCCCAAAGGTCCGCAACGCCCTCCACGGTGGCCGAAAGCACGCTCTGCACATTCGACGGGACGATGAAGTCGGTATCCGTGTCCCCGTTGAAGAGCTTGCACGTATCTTTCACTATGCTAGAGTCGCAAAGCTCGGGATAGTCTTTGATGTCCACAGCGAAAGAATTGTTGAAGATCCAGTGCAGCCTCCGGTTGGCAGGCATGTCCTCCAGCATGTCGTTGCTTGCGGTATATCTTCGAATCTTGAAGCCACGCTCGTCCATTGTGTACTCCTTGCCGAACTTCGCTCCTGGCTGACTTGGAACGAAAAGGTCCTGTGCCGAGGACCCTCCCAACAGGAGGGCTGCTTGAACTCCGGCTGCGCAGCGCAACATTCGATCAAAATCTTGATGCCTTGAAGGCCGTGCGTCTGACCAAACTTGAAAGGAACACCCTCTGCGTAGCAAAAGCGGCCTTGAACTACTTGAGCCAAAATGGCTACGGAGGGGGCTTCTTGGGGTCGTCTTGGACTGTCTTTGGGCATTGTGGGCGCTCCCCAGGAGGCCGGGAAGCGCAGTACCGGGAGCGTGCACGAGATGTTCCGGGAAGGTGTGGGACCCCTGGGAGCAGGGGGCGCACATCTGTTGAATTTCGAAAGAAAAAAAAGGCACGCTCTGAAATTCCTTTTTTTCGAATTCCTCTGTCTTGGAGCGTTGGAAGCCGCAAAACGTGAGAAGGCGAAACAAGTCGACAAGAACCACTGAAAATCAATGTTTGTACCCTCTTCGGGCTCTCTCGGGACGGCTCTCGAAGCTCTCTTGGGCTATTTTGGGGGGCCTCGTCGAGGATTTTTTGGGAGCCTCTCACGGATCTGGGGTGTGTTGGAGGCCTCTGGGGGCTCCCGGAGTCCTCTCTCGGAGGTCTCTGGCGGTCTCCTGCTCCCGCTCTTGGGCTCATCTGGGGCCTATACTTGGGGGATCTGGAGCTGTCCAGGGCGCCTCTTCGGCACTCTTGGGACCGTCTTGGCCCGTCTTGGGGCCGTCTTGGGGGCCTCGGGGGCGGTCTTGTGGACCTCTTCGGCCGTCTTGGAGCGTTGGAAACATGAAATGGTGAGAAGGCCAAGAACCCGGCAACAAAACAAGGGAAGTTAACGATGTTAGGTTCTCCGGGCGCTCTCGGGAGGCCTCTCGGGGCCATCTGGAAGTCTCTTGGGGGCCTCCTGGGAGCCTGGAGAGCCGCCCGAAAGCTATCCTGGGTTGCTTGGGAGCGTCTTGGGCAATTCTTTGACGTTGTGGCAGCTTCTTGGGGTCGTCTTGGACTGTCTTTGGGCAGTGTGCGGGCTCCCCAGGCCGCCGGGAAGCGCGGTACCGGGAGCGTACACCAGATGTGAGCGATGTGGTGGCGCCCTGGGAGGGGGCCTGGCCTATTTGTTTACGTATAAGTTATAGGTATACATGTATATATATAATATATATAATATATATATATATATATATGTGTGTGTGTGTGTGTGTTCACATCTGGGAGGCAACATATCTATGACATACGCACGCATCTGTTACATACACGCACATGTAAGAAGTTGCACAGAACTAGCTCTTGCATATAGAGAGAGGGAGAGAGAACGCAGACTGTGGAGCGCAAGATTTGCGATTCACCGTGGATAATGCAATCTACGCGGTGCAAGTTGTACAAGCTACATGGTGCACTCATAATTGTGACATAGACCAAAACCAGAATGTGTTGTCAACAACGCTGCTCTGGAACACATCCCACTCTCTCACCCGCAAATTGTTTGGCAAAACGCATGCAACAACAATTGTGGTTGCCAATTGAGCTTGCAAGCGCATTATTATGTACGGCAACACTGGTGCGCGCACGCTCCTGCGCAGAGCGGCAACGATGGCGCTTGCGGATGGGTTTCCAACGCGTCTCACAATCCGCGCTGAAATTAGGTGCGGGTCGGTGATCGGGCGGGCGCGATACCATGATGGTCAATGACGGCGGCAACGATGATGATGGTAGCGCTGGTTGTGGCGATGATGACGATGACGAGGACAAGGCCTACGACGGTGCCAAATGCTGTTGACGACGATGAAGATGATGATGTCCATGTTCTGGTGAAGAAAATGATTGATTCATGATGGTGGCAACGGCGGCCACTGACGATGAAGATAACGGAAGGGATGCAATGTCGCCGACGCTCTCAGTCCTGGACCCCGCTGTGTAGCCCTCGAGGTGAAGGATGGGGAGGGCGAGGGGATGGTACGCGGTATGGGATGGCCCAGGACGAGGTAGAGAAGGAAGAGAAGGAAGGGGAAGACCACGAGGAGGACGATTCAGCGGATGAGAAAGACGATTAGATGAACGAGGAGAACCACGGAGGGGACTGCTCTCCATCTCCTCCCTCCTCCCTCCTCCCTGTTCGATGACGCGGAGCTGGAGGCGGCACTCCTTGCTGAATCGTCCTTGCTCAGCAGTCGCTCTTTCCTTCCAGGAATACCAGTTCGTGGCCATGTCTTTCGAGCATGGCGAACTGCTATTCCCGACGTTCGATGACGACCTCCCTCTCCTCCTCCTCCTCCTCCTCCTCCCCCTCCTCCTCTGGCTCGTCCTGTTCCTCTCGTGTCCCTTGTTCTCCCCCTCCCTCCCCCTTCTCCCTTATCCTGCCTCCTCCCGTCTCCCTGCTCTGCCCTCCTCCCTTCTTAATCTACGTAATATTCCCTTCCCTGGGGTCCAAAGTTACGAAGAAATGGCACCACGACCGCTTCCGTACACCCCACAACTCTGCTCAATTTTTGGAACTGGATCAATGTGCTTGCGATGGTCCCGGGGTCCCGAAACTGGGCGAACACGCCCAGTGCGAAACGATGCCACCGCCCGCATCTAAGGATTCTTCCTTCCCCTACCCACCCTCCATCCCTCCCCAGACCCCCGACGTCATGATTTTTGTTGAAACGTCGACCCCCAGAAGTCTCGATCCATTTCTCGGGACGAAATTTTCATCCCGGGTCGTACCTGACGGTCCCGAGGCCCGGTGAGCGCCCCCAGAAGCCGAACGCAGAGAAAAACATCCCGTCATGACCTTCTCATGACCCACGGGGGTCTGGGTCGTTCCCTTCGCCTCGTCATCCCCTTCCTCCCGCCCGAGGAAGCCGCGGCCGCGGCCGCGGCGGTCCACCGCCAGCAGGTGGCACACGGCGTCGTCGTCCTCCGCGGCGGGGCCGAACGGTGCCGCGGCGGCCAGGCCGCACGGGGCGCCGCGCGGCCTCCTCCTCCTCAGCATCACCAGCATATTCAGCATCATCAGCATCATCCGCATCATCATTACCATCATCAGCATCCGATGGCGTTCCGCATGGTCTGCAGATTCGCTAGGTACTGCGATACTAACAATGTGTCGTCCGCATATAGAATATCCCGGGTTACCACACATCCAGGTTCTGCTACGACAGATAGAGAATCGATCGCGTCGTGTAGCACGACCGTCTGCACTGCGATCGACAAATACGGAAGGAGCGGACAACCCTGCGCGACCCCAGCGTGTCGTTTCCTCTCCGTAGAGCTTCCAGTGTGGTCCATGATAATGAAGAAACGAGCTGCGCAAATGGAGCGTATCATGTCCACGATGTCGCTGGGTAGCCCAAGTCGTTGCGAAGCTCTGCGCATGACTTCAGGCTTAAGTATGTCAAAAGCTTTTGCTCAACCCAGCATTCGTACCATTATGCCCCCACTGTTGTTGATATGTGCTGCATCTATCATGCGTCTTACAAGCATGAGGGCGTCCGCGGCGCCGCGCCCAGGCCGAAAATCATACTGTGAGTTACGCGTGCGTTCTTCGGAGCCCCCTTGCAGCAACTTGCGGTGCATGAGCGCCGCCAGAATGTTGCATCCAACTGAAAGCACGGAGATAGGGCAGTAGTTCTCTGAAGGGCAGTGTCTCCCGTTTTGACAAATAGCACTACTTTCGCTCTTTGCCAAGATTATGGGACCGCCTTCCTGGCCCAACATTGTTGGCAGAGCCCCAATAAGACGGCCAGCGCGCATGTATCTTGCATGAGAACTTTACAAAAGTCGGAAGGGAGGTCGTCGGGGCTGGGGGCCTTTCCAAGCTTCAGTTTCTGTAACACTCTGCGCAGCTCGTCAGTCGAAAAATCATGCGTGGGCACTGGTAATGCATCACCAATGGGAGCTTGAAATTCTGGTTGTAGTTCTGGACGTTCTGGATCTTGTGCCCGATTCGCCTTGGACTGTAGAAATGTCCACCAGTGTGAAGAAAATCTGGTTGTTTATTTGATGGTCCCGGCACGTCCGTAACCCACAATAGTGCGCAGGTTGCTGAAGCGGCACAGGATGTGGTCAATGTGAACGACTTTGAATCAGTTATGGCATCCATGGGAGGGACACCCAGATCACGATAAGAAACTTTGCGTTCATCCAAGTTGTTGAAACAAATACTGGCGATAGCGAAGTCGCATGTGGCGCAAAATGCGACAAGAAATTGCCTGTTCGATGCTGCGTCGTTGCCGTCGTCCTTTGTCTCGAACACGCGCGGGCCGATGACTTCTTCCTCTCCAGCTCCCGCCAGGCGGAATCGAGCGTTGAAGTCCCCAAGAACATACAGCGCGGAATGCTCAGTGGCCAGACGAATCAGATCTTCAAGTTGATGGTGAAACGACTGCCTGGTGTCGAGGTGCATCCTATCGTGTGGAGCATGCTCACATATAAGAGTGAGTACGCCACCATGCGTTTTCAAGCGCAAAATCGCCAAACTATCGCCATTAGCCTTCAAAGCAACAGCCGCCAACCGCATCCGCGGGGAAGCAACGAAGCGTCCACCTACCCAAGATCTTTTCTCCGATTTGATCTCACCTGAAAAGGAAGACAGGACACCCGTCTTGCGTGAAATACTCTGCGCCATTCAGGTGCGTCTCTTGAACGCGCGGAACGTCCAAGTGCAGCTCAGACATCATATTAGACAGCTCCGTGTACTTCACCACAAATTCCCCTCGGAGACCCTGAACGTTCTAGGTGCCCTGGCGGCGCAAGCTGCAGAGAAGGCAACTCCGCCTCGGTCTTCCCCAAGATAGCGTTTCTCCTGCACGGCGCGACAAGATAGAATAGCGAGGGAGAAAAGGTTCAGAATTGGAGGAAGTTGTAGCTTTGTGCTGATGGTATCCAACTTCGCGCTCTGAATTGGTATCTGTGGCCAGTCCGGCCATTCCACCAGAGATGTATACAGCGTCGTTGTCACAGCCAGCATCGCCGTCGAGGTGTCCAGCACGTGCACACAATTTCCCACTAGCGGTAGTTGTAGCAGCTGGTGGTGGAGACAAAGATGGCAGAATTAGTCCAGAAAGTGAAACTTCCACCGATGGCTCCACGAGGGTATCTTTGACCATACTCGTACTACCAACAGGTGGTGATGAGTAAGGTGATGTAGATATACGTGAAGAAAAACAATATTGATCAAACATTCCCGTGACGCCCACGTGCTCCAAGGTTTTGTGCTGTTGGTCGGCGTTGGTCGGCTGTGGCGCTGGGTTCCAACATCGAATCCAACGCCCGCCGTATGTCCTACTGTCCTTTGGACCTGCCCTTATCATTTGGACCTGCACTTAGACTCCCCCTTCATCCCCGAGCGGGATCGGCGAACAATAAAAACGCATTTCGCCACGAAAGACTTCATCTTTGCGTGTTTTTTGCAGCTCACCCGAGTTGATCTATTCCTCTTCCCATTCCCAGCCGACGGCTCCATCTCGAGCGTGCACGGTCAGCGCCACTTCTCCGCCGACGTGTACTTGGTATGGGGCGTGTTCCGATACTTTGACGATGTACTCGATGTCCATATCTCCCTTGAACATGTAGTTGACACCAAAGCAAAATTGCGGGCTGCCCTGTCGGCCGGCTCCCTGTCCTGAGACGCCCACACTGTGCACGCCCCCCGCTGGAGACGCTGACTCCGGATTAGTCCTACGACGGTATCGCGTTCCAACGTATCACCAAACTTCAAAAACAACATGTTTTTGAAATCACCTTTAGCGTAACTATTTCTAAGAATTGGGCCCTTCATATCCGCGATCTGCTCCCAGATGAACTCAGCAGCGGTGACCTCGAACTCGAAACTCTCCAGGTTGCCGACGACCGCTGTGACCGAGCGTTTTCCATTGTAGTGGTATGCGCCTGCTGATTGCTGGAAATGTCTTGACCGTGGTGTAAGATGCCCGATGTTCCGGAAATCCTGTTTGAACTTGTCTAAGCGATCCTGCATGTCGTATTCCATTTTTGCCATTCTGATTTGGATATCCTCAGTGTCTTTGGAAGCCGTTTTCTTCAGGGTGTCGACCTCTTCCTTCATATCCCACAACAGTTGCTTTAGCGGTCGTGTGGCATCGTCCAGGTCTTTGGGGGATATGCCGTGCTGCTTGATGGCCACGATGTCCTGCTGAATTGGGAGGAGCTGGCGTGCGATCAAACTTCCAATAGCTTCTAGTGTAATTGGGTGGTTATCCTCGTGCTCTTGCTGCGCCTTTCCCCGACATAGGAACCGGAGGGGGTAGCTGCAGTTGGCCTGGAGGTGCTGGTTCTGGTACCGATGGACCTTCGGGAAGATCTCTGGGGCCGTCTTCAAGCCCATCCATTTCATGAAGCGGGCTGTGTATCTTATGCTGCTTGAACAACTGCCTGACCGGGGTGCCTGGCTGTCGTTTTTCGCCATCGCCTGAAGAAGAAGAAGAAGAAGCCATCAGGAATGCACGAATGCAAGATGAAAAGAAGTAGAAAGTGCGGAAAGTGTGGGGAAAGTGTGGGAAAGTATAAAAAATGGGATACGCGTCCAATCAGTCAAATCAGTCCACTCGAAGCCTCAAGCCACTTGAGCCCTTGAGCCCTTGAGCCACTTGAGCCCTTGAGCCCCTTACTATTTTGAATTTCCTCCCTGTAGGGACAGGCCCGACTTAACACCAGGCGTTCCATCATCTCGGGGGCGAAGATGGAAGCGAATATCCCGGGGGAGATCAATACATGTATCCAAGGGCGCTGATTTCTGCGAGGCTCCCCTGCGAATGCTTGTATTGCCCGCGACCGAGCTATTCGCCCCTATCGTCGCCTCCGATCATCCACCATGGCGTCCAAATGTTCGTCCTGAAGCCCGGCGTCAGCTCCTGCAACAGCAGGTGCTCGTTCCTCGTGGCGCGTTTCTCCTCCCAGGGCGAGCGTCCAAAGGGACGGCACCAATTTCAGATTTACGGACGACCATTCCGTCAGACTGGCGGATGGGCTGCGACTGCAACAACTGCGATCTGATGGCAGCAGGCGCGGCTGCAGCTGGCTGTGGGCCCTTGGCAACCGCAGCAAGGTCGTGTCGTGACGGCACCAGCGCTAGTTTCTCACACCGAGTGGATGGCTACTCCAGATTTCGTAATAAAGGGAGGGGGGTCTCATTTCGGGGGGGGTCTCTTCCAGGCTATCTTGGAGGGCCTGGGGGGGGGGTCTGGGGACGATGTTTTGGAGGGTTCTCCCACAGAGGGGGGTCTGAAACGGCTTGTCTTGGAGGATCCAGACCCCCTCCCTTGTATTACGAAATCTGGAGTAGGCTCCTGGAGCGAGGCGGGCGCGCCCTCGCTCCATTCTGGCACGTGCAAAGCACGCGATTCCACCTCCTGACTACCTACCAAACCACCCCAACCCAACCCGAAGACCCGAATTTCGGGTTGGGGGGGGTATGGGCTCCATATGTGTTTTTTCGATATTCCCGGACCCCCCCCCACTAGAAATCGAGGGTAAATCTGAGCCTTCGGGTTGGGTTGGGGTGGTTTGGTGGGTGGTGACTTCCAGCCTGGCGCGGCTCAGCCGCAGCACTGCGGGCGGCCCTGGCGGAGAGCAACGTCGAAGCCATTCAGCTCATCGAGGGTCCACCTGGCACCGGGAAGGCTGGGGTCGTCGCTGTGCTGGTGCTTTGGAAGGCGGAGATCGCGGTGGCGCGGGCTGACTTGCGCGAAGTGCGTAGTCACTGCGGTCACCTGAGCAGGGGTGAACAATATCATTCCCAGGATGCTCCCGTACATGCCTCTGCCTGAGCTGGTTCGGCGGCGCACCGTTCGCGGCATCGTTTCGGCGCAGGGCGTGAGCGCTTTCTCGACGAGGCTCGAGGACCCTGCCAGGATGCACAGGGATGCCCGCATCGCCCCCTCAGCCAGCCACTGAGGTGCGTGCAGCAAAGATGGGGCCCGCTGGAATGACCGACCGTCGGCGGCGAGTGAGGGGGGAAATGAGAAGGGGCGTGCCTTCTCAGAAGGCTCGGAAGCCCCCCGGCCCTCTGGGAAGTCTTCCCAGCCTTCCCCGAAAGCCGAAGCAGACTCTCAGAAGCGCGCGGGCTTCTGAGAAGCCCCGCCGCCTCTGACGAGGCCCTCTCCTTCTCTCCTCCCCCCCTCGCTCGCCGCCGAGGCAGGGACAGGCGGCGAGTGCCCCCCAGAGGGGAGACCCGTCCCTCGCCCGCTGCCGACCACGCCGACCTGCGCGCGGCGCGGGGCCTCGGGAGGCGCGACGCCGAGCCCGCAGGGCGCGCACGGAGGGCAGCCCTCGGGCCTGGGCACCCGCTGGCCCGCCCGAGCTCGCGGCGGGCTGCACGCGTGACCGCGGCGACTGCGGGCACGTGCGCCGTTGTGCACCGGACCGGCGCGGGCCACGGGGCTCCCAGTGGGCGAGTGCGCGTGTGGGCTCCGATCGGCGGGGCCCCCCGCTGGGAATGAGGCCGAGATGGCCGCTCCGCTCCCGGTCATCGCGAGCGGGGGCTCGTCCACTGCAGCAGGAGGTCACACTGCGATTGGGGCTGCACGTGGAGAGGAGACGCAAAAACACGCAAAACTTCATAAACATACTCTTTCGAAGGTCTGCGCGGAATACTTTGGTCGGCGCTGGACACCCCTCCCTGGCGCGTGGAGCGCGCCAGTGACTGTGACGGAGGCGCCGCCAGGGAGCCCAGCACAAAGCCGAGACGCCAGCGCGGGCCGCGGGCTCACTCTTCTGCTGCTTCTTCTCCGTCTTCTTATGAGTCTTCGAACAACGCAATTGGACTGTACGTGGCGGACTCTGTAAACCATGGACCCCCCAACATTGCACCGCTCGGGAAAGTAACTTGTATTTCCGCCAACTTCCCGAGAGGAAGACATGCCAACCTGCGATATTTAAACATTATCCTGGCGAAAGACCCAACCGTATGCAGGTGAGCACCGCAATTGTAACTATCTTCTTCGGTGGGGCTCCCTAAATATAGGGCCAGCATCGTTAGCAGCGTCATTGTCATCATCATCGTCGGCATCATCGTCACCATCGTCATCGTCATCGTCATCGTCATCGCCAGCATCATCATCAGCATCATCAGCATCATCAGCATCATCAGCATCATCAGCATCATCAGCATCATCATCAGCATCATCATCATCATCATCATCATCGTCGTCGTCGTCGTCGACATCATCATCAGCATCATGTTCAGCATCATCAGCATCATCATCATCATCATCGCCATCGCCATCGTCATCGTCATCGTCATTGTCGTAGTTATCATCAGCAGCATCCAGCAGATCATCATTATCATCATCATCATCATCATCATCATCATCATCATCATCATCATCAGCAGCATCATCATCATCATCATCATCATCATCACCATCACCATCATCATCGTCATCGTCATCGTCGCCATCGTCTTCGTACCAGTGGAAGGGGGCTACCTCCTCCTTTCCTCTTCCTCCCCCGCCCTCTCCTCCTCCTCCTCCGACCTCCGCCTCCTCCTCCTCCTCCTCCTCCTCCGTTCCTCCTCAGCCCACTCCGTTCGTCCTCCTCAGAACTCCGACAGCCTCCGACGGAGGTGACCGCAAGTCTCCGCATGCATCCCCGAAGCCCCCCCGAGGCCACCGGCGGGCCTGGAACGCCCTCGACAACGTTCGGGCGTAACGCCAGTAGCTCGGGCATCCGGCGAGAACTCCGGACGATGCTTCGAGCGCCCCCGGAACGCTGTCGGCGAGGCGCAGGTGCTGGGTTACACATCGCAGCCTTCAAAAACGAAGGCATTTAACTAACCCCACCTTCGGAACGCCGCCACTGGGGCCTACGGTGGAGCCCAGGCAACGTGTCAGGGAGTGCCGAAATGGGTGTGACGGCCCTGGGACCTTCGGTGAAGCTCCCCATGAGGCCACAAAGCGCTGTACTGGGTGTGGGAGACGCGTGCGGGCTGCGCCACTAGGACCTTCGGTGAAGCTCCCCATGGGGCCACGAAGCGCTGTACTGGGTGGGGGAGACGCATGCGAACTGCGCCACTGGGACCATCGGTGGAGCTCCCTATGGGGCCACGAAGCGCTGTACTCAATGGGGGAGACGCCTACGAACTGCGCCACGGGGACCTTCGTTGGAACTCCCTATGGGGCCACGAATCGCTGTACTCAATTGAGGAGACGCATTCGAACTGCGCCACTGAGACCATCGGTGGAGCTCCCTATGGGGCCACGAGCTGCTGTACTGAATGCGGGAGGCGCATGCGAACTGCGCCACTGGGACCTTCGGTGGAGCTCCCTATCGGTGGAGCTCCCAATGGGGCCACGGAGCGCTATACTGGGTGGGGGAGACGCATGCGACCTGCGCCACTAGGACGTTCGGTGGAGCTCCGTATGGGGCCACGAAGCGCTGTACTGGGTGTGACGATGATGGTGATGATGACGGCGATGACGATGACGATGACTACGATGATGACGATCATGAGGACTGCGGAGGGCAGAGGCAAGAGATGGCAGGAGGAGGAGGGAGGAGGAGGGAGAGGAGGAAGGAGACGCGGGGCGCTGTCTCTTCAAATCGAGGACCCAACACCACAGGATGGTTGTGAACAACACACATCTCTACGTGGAAGACCGACATGCGTTGCCAATCGGGTTGGGTCTGTACATGTTTCATCCCATCCAGCGCATGAGCGTCGCTTCGTGGCAGAGCTGGATGAAACCCCGTACCAACAAACTCTCAACCACAGCTGCCATGCTGGGGAGGTGCTGGACGTGGACTCGACACCCCTTCGAGAGCTATCCTCGGGGCCTGCCTGCAGTGGCCCCCTAGGTGGGGTCCGGGTGGATGGGGTCGGAGGGCCGCGCCGCATCGCCGATGCATCGGCGACGCCGGCGACGCATCGGCGCAATCGGCGTGGAGTACATCCTCCCCACGTCGAGCCGCATCGGCAATGCGGTGCCATCATCCGACACCCACCTACTCGGAATATATCTGGGAAGCCTGGAGCCGAGCCCTCGGCTGGGCAAGTCTGGGAATCCGCGGAACAGACAATCCCATGATTCAGCTCAAACTGGTTTCCGTCCGTGTTCGTCAACGCCGCTCCATCCTCCTCCTCTTCCTCAAACTCCTTCCCGTCCTCCTTCCTCCGTCCTCCGCATCCTCCTCCCGCCTCTCTCCCTCCTCCTCTTGCGATAGTGGCAACGCCTATCCTGCCAGACTTCGTCGGCAATGTTGTCGCTGTAAAGGAATCCGACAAACCACTGCACTGCCTCGCAAGGGTTCCATCAAAAGAGGATGGAGACTTGCGAAAAGATGCAAACATGACATACGCATGGAATTGTTCGGACGTCAATGCGGATTTCTTGGATCGGCGCTGGATCCCCCTCCCTGGCGCGCGGAGCGCCTGACGGAGACGCCGCCAGCGCCGACCCGAGACATCCACGCGGGCCTCGGAACGTATACGTATATGGATTGTTATGCTGCATCTTCACATTTCTTCTAAGGTAGAGCGAGGGAGAGAGAGAGAGAGAGAGAGAGAGAACGAGAGAGAGAGAGAGAGAGCGAGAGAGGAGAGGGGGAGAGAAAGAGAGAGAGAGAGAGGGAGAGACACAGAGAAAGAGAGAGCGAGAGAGAAACACAACAAGCGAGAGACAGAGAGACAGAGAGATAGAGAGAGAGCTGGCGGGGTTGGGATGGCTGCAACGATGCTACTAAAAAGGACAAGTACCGAATCAGTGAAGCACTCCGCCGAACACTCCCAAACAACGGAATAGCGCCGCTGGGCTCGCGAGCCTCGACTGCGACACTCAGAGAATGGATCGGCCTGTGAATACCTCTCAGTTGTATATCGCAGCCACATCAAACGGTCACCTCGTGAGGAACGATGCCACTGGCGACAGAGGAAAACTGGGAAGTCGATGGGCAACCCTGTCGCAGGACCGCCCTTGCCCTCTGCTCCCAAGTAAGGCGACGACGCTGGCGTGGAAAGAGAAGGACGGCCACGAGGCGAGATGGCATAACGGAACACGAAGCCAAGGAGCATGGCAGTTAAGGGAGCTGGATGTGAGAAGGGTGGGACTCCATCGGGACGCTGCGCACGAAACGAGGAACAACTATTCGGACACGCGACGTTGAAGGCGGTTCACGTAGACTGGGCTAATTCCCGCCCGAATGCGCCAATCTGCCTAAGCACGTAGCGGAGTCCAATGGGCCTTGAAAATTGGGATATGGATATCGTGAAGACTCTGAAGGGGCTCACAAACCCGAATCCCTGGCGCTCTCTGGCGCTACCGGGACACGGCCGCGTGAACTTGCCAAAGCTCAGAGAGCGCAAATAGGGTCCAAGAGCGCCCTCGGATGCTCCACAGGAAGTCCAAGAAGGTTCCAAGACCGCCCAAGCGGCTCCCAAGATGCCCCAAGAGAACTCCGACGAGGGTCCCAAGAGGAAAACAAACGGATTCTCCGCAGGTTTTGAAATGTTGTAGCTGTCTCACCGCTGCGGCTTCCAGCGCTCCAGGACGGCCCAAGAGGCCCCCAAGATCGCTACAAGACGGCACAATAGGCCCAACGAGGGCCCCAAGGCGGCCCATGAGGCTCACAAGATAGCCGAAGAGGGCGACTGCGAACTGCCATGTCGAGCCCTCCCCGCCCAAAGATGACACCCGAGAGCCCCATCATGTCCCCAAGGGGCCCAGAATACGCCGTAAAATAGGCCCCGTAAATAAGAGACCCTAAGAGGCTTCCGAGAGGCCTCCCAAGAGATGGCAACAGGCATCGGAGAGGCCTCTGGCAAGCGCGGTGGTGGGATGGGCCGAGGGCCACTAGATCCACGGCCTCCTTCTGCCTGCAAAAGAAATGGGCTCTTGGCAGTGAACATAATCGGACACCTTCCTGGCCCTTCCAAACAATTCTCAATCGGATCTCGACGCATCCCGCTGGCCGCCTGTGCGAATCGGCAAATTATTCACTGCGTGGAGCTCCCCATATGTGCATCTACTCGCATGGACCTGTCCGCCGTGAATGTCTAGGCGCAAGAACTTTCGAATATTAACGGGCTTCAGTTGTGACGGTCTGGACATCAATCTAACTGCGAATGAATTGGAGTGTGAATGAGCCTCAGTAGTACGAGCGCGTCTCTGTGCATGAGCCTGGGGCCTCCTGGGGCCTCCTGAAACCTACTGGGGCTTCCTGGGGTCTCCAGGAGCCTCTTGGGACCTCCTGGGACCTCCTAGGAAGGTTTCGTGCCCCAGGAGAGGCGCAATATATAGCAACAGACGTACATAAAACATTGCGGATTAGAGCCACAGGAGAAGGGCAATCTATAGGAACACGCGTAAAACACCAAGGACTCGTGCCCCAGGAGAGGCCCAATACATAGATAGAGACATACGTAGAACATCAAAGAATCGTGCTCCAGGTGAGGCCCAATCGATAGGAGCATACGTAAAACACATGGGATTGGAGCCACTCCTGTTGCCTTCTGAGGCCTCCTGCTCCTGGGGCCTCTCGGGGCTTCCTGTTGCCTTCCGAGGCCTCCTGGCGCTTCCTGTTGCCTCCTGGGGCCTCCTGTGGTTTCCTGAGGCCTTCTGGAGCTTCCTGGGGCCTCCTGGAGCCTCTTGGGACATCCTGTGGCCTCTTGAGTCTTTCTGTGGCCTCCTGATGCCTCCTGGGACCTCATGTGGTCTCCTGGGGCCTCCTGGAGCCTGTTGGAGCCTCCTGTGGCATCCTGAAAAGAATCTGCGCCCACGAGCCTGGCCACCAAAACAAGCAAACCGATCGAGACATCCTCAAAATCTGGCCCACCTGGGGGGTGAAAATGAGCGCCTCGCTCGAGACATCCTCCAAATCTGCTCCGAAAGCGAAGGATGTTGGGCCCAGAAACAAGCAAACCGCCTGAGACATCCCCACAAAATGGCCGCGAACGAGCCCGTGCAACCACCCCTGGCGGCTCCCCTTAGGGGTGCTGAAATGAGCGCCTCGCTCGAGACATCCTCCAAATCTGCTCCGAAAGCGAATGATGTTGGGCACAGAAACAGGCAAACCGCCTGAGACATCCCCACAAAATGGCCGCGAACGAGCCCGTGCAACCACCCCTGGCGGCTCCCCTTAGGGGTGCTGAAATGAGCGCCTCGCTCGAGACATCCTCCAAATCTGCTCCGAAAGCGAAGGATGTTGGGCACAGAAACAGGCAAACCGCCTGAGACATCCCCACAAAATGGCCGCGAACGAGCCCGTGCAACCACCCCTGGCGGCTCCCCTTAGGGGTGCTGAAATGAGCGCCTCGCTCGAGACATCCTCCAAATCTGCTCCGAAAGCGAAGGATGTTGGGCACAGAAACAGGCAAACCGCCTGAGACATCCCCACAAAATGGCCGCGAACGAGCCCGTGCAACCACCCCTGGCGGCTCCCCTTAGGGGTGCTGAAACCAGCGCCCCGCCTGAGACATCCTCACAATCTGCTCTCCAGGCGAAGGATGTTGAGCACAGAAATATTGTGTATGAGTAAGTCTGGGTATGAGTGAGTCTGTGTATGAGTAAGTCTGTGTATGAGTATGTCTGAGTGTGCGTAAGTCTGAGTATGAGTAGGTCTGAGTATGAGTAAATATGAGTATGAGTAAGTCTGTGTATGAGTAAGTCTGAGTATGAGCAAGTGTGAGTATGAGTAGAGAGGAGGGGAGGAGAAAAGAGGAGGAGGAAGGAGGAGGAGTAGGAGGCGTCCAAATAATAACAAGAACCCCATCTTAGGATATGGGGAAAAACACATTCAAGAAACATCGTCTCCACGAGTGCCACGATGGCCTCCAAGACGGTCTCAAGACGCCTTAAAGACGTCAAGATGGCCCCACGAGAGCTCCAGGTAACCCACATCTGCCTGCAATGCAGCCCAAGATGGACCCACGACTGCCCAAACACGGCCCAAGAGGCCCCTGCGACGCTCCGAGTTGCTCCAAGAAGACCTCCAGCAGGCTCTCAGTAGGCAACTTTGCACTGATGTTGAACACAATTGATGTCGGTCTTCCACGCTCTCGCCGTTTCGATCGTCCAACGGCTCAAGACGGCCTCAGAGGTCTCCAACATGTAATCGCCGTGCTGCTTGAAGGAACGCTGAATGAAGAACGACGGGGCTTCCCGCGCCACGGCGAGCATCGGCAACGAACAAGTTCCCCGACCTAAATACGGGAACGGCCCAAAAGCCAGTGCCCCTCCCGAGACCGACATGGTCCTAATTTCAACGTCTCGACTCGAAATCGTCTTTTCAGTCGGCGATAACGGGTGATCCAGCGTGGGAAGGTACCGGACGAGAACCTCACCTTTTCGCATTGGGCAACCCCACGTGTGCCCACGCGCGCCAATACTGCGTACCTTCTTCGGACCTGCGCAAGCGGCAACGTCAAGTTATCCGAGAGGGCGAAGGGGTAAGGCGGGCGGGCCCGATAAGCCGGATGATCGGCGGATTCTAGAATTAGCCTGGCGAAAAGCCCAACCACATGCAGCTGCGAGTGCCGCACTGTAGGTACCGCTTTCGGTGGAGCTCCCTGTGGGGACACCGCCACTGGGGCCTTAGGTGGAGCTCGCTATGTGACCACGAAACGTTGTGCATGGGTGGGGGAGACGCATGCGAACTGCGCCACTGCCGCCTTCGGTGGAGCTCCCTGTGGGGCCACGAAACGCTGTATTGAGTGGGGGGGTCGCATGCGAACTGCGACACTGGGACCTTCGGTGGAGCTCCCTATGGGGCCACGAAGCGCTGTACTGGGCGGGGAAGACGCATTCGAACTGCGCCACTGGGACCTTCGGTGGAGCTCCCTTTCGGTGGAGCTCCCTATGGGGCCACGGAACGCTGTACTGGGTAAGGGAGACGCTTGCGAACTGCGCCACTGGGACCTTCGGTGGAGCTCCCTATGGGGCCACGAAGCGCTGCACTGGGTGTGACGATGATGGTGATGATGACGGCGATGACGGCGATGACGTACGATAACGATGATGATGACGATCATGAGGACATGCGGAGGGCAGAGGCAAGAGATGAGAGGATGGGGAGGGAGAAGGAAGGAGATGAGGAAGGAGGAAACGCGGGGCGCTGTCTCTTCAAAACGAGGACCCAACACCACAGGATGGTTGGGAGAAACACTCTCCTGCAGCGTCAAGGTGACCCCAAAGACCTCCTCCAAGGAGGCCCCGAGAAGCTCCCAAGAAGGCCCCGAGAGGCCACCCTGGACGCGCGTTCGCGGCAACGCGGGAGACGCGCGAGCTGGCTCGATGCTTTCACT